GCAGTCCCTCACACATTGATCTCACTTGTAGCACACTGTGTAGTGCCTAGCTTCTATGTCAGATTTTAAGTTTCAATAGTTCAGTAACTATACTCCTTTTTCTCATCTCCATATTTTCAGAGACAAGCCTAGTAGGTCCATTGATTGTAACAAATGTACCACTTGGGTAGGGATGTTTAGGAGCTTGACAGTGCAGATAGGAGTCACCGGGAGCCTGGAGACAGCTGGAGTGGTGGACTCTAGGTTATCTTCAGAATCTACCTCATTTTCTGGTAACCAGGGAGCTTTGTGCTTTGGTAAGCTTCTCTTTCCTGGGATGGGTTTGCTCTTAGAGGCACTTTACTGTTGCAAGGTTATAGATTTCTATCTGGCTTGTTGGGTCTCAGGATGGACCTTGGGTGCAATCTTTTTATAAACATTTAGCACATACACCGCCCCCCCACCAACAGGAAGCCAAAGAAGATATACAGATGGCAAATAAGCATATGAGGCTTATGTGGTAGCTCACACCTGTAATCCCAGCACTTTTGGAGGCCTATGCAGGCAGATCACTTGAGGTCAGGATTTAGAGACCAGCCTGGCCAACATGGTGGTTTCACCAACATGAAACAATATTAATAAAAATACCTAACTTGTTTCTCAAAAATTCATCAAAAACTATGCTATTTTTGGATTAAGTTTTTAAAAAATCAACTGCCTACTCCTATTGTATAAAATAGCAAGATTTCATGATTAGACTTTGTCCAGGAAGTCTTCTTTTACCTCTGAAAATATGTTACACTGTTGGTGGGACTGTAAACTAGTTCAACCATTGTGGAAAACAGTGTGGCGATTCCTCAAGGATCTAGAACTAGAAATACCATTTGACCCATTGATCCCATTACTGGGTGTATACACAAAGGATTATAAATCATGCTGCTATAAAGACACATACACAAAATCACAAGCATTCTTATGCACCAATAACAGACAAACAGAGAGTCAAATCATGAATGAATGAACTCCCATTCACAGTTGCTTCAAAGACAATAAAAAACCTAGGAATCCAACTTACAAGGGATGTGAAGGACCTCTTCAAGGAGAACTACAAACCGCTGCTCAATGAAATAAAAGAGGACACAAACAAATGGAAGAACATCTCATGCTCATGGATAGGAAGAATCAATATTGTGAAAATGGCCATACTGCCCAAGGTAATTTATAGATTCAATGCCATCCCCATCAAGCTACCAATGACTTTCTTCACAGAACTGGAAAAAACTACTTTAAAGTTCATATGGAACCAAAAAAGAGCCCGCATTACCAAGACAATCCTAAGCCAAAAGAACAAAGCTGGAGGCATCACGCTACCTGACTTCAAACTATACTACAAGGCTACAGTAACCAAAACAGCATGGTACTGGTACCAAAACAGAGATATAGACCAATGGAACAGTACAGAGCCCTCAGAAATAATACCACACATCTACAACCATCTGATCATTGAAAAATTGACAAAAACAAGAAATGGGGAAAGGATTCCCTGTTTAATAAATGGTGCTGGGAAAACTGGCTAGCCATAAGTAGAAAGCTGAAACTGGATCCCTTCCTTACACCTTATACAAAAATTAATTCAGGATGGATTAAATACTTAAATGTTAGACCTAAAACCATAAAAACCCTAGAAGAAACCCTAGGCAATACCATTCAGGACAATACCATTCAGTCCTTGCATGGGCAAGGACTTCATGTCTAACACACCAAAAGCAATGACAACAAAAGCCAAAATTGACAAATGGGATCTCATTAAACTAAAGAGCTTCTGCACAGCAAAAGAAACTACTATCAGAGTCAACAGGCAACTCACAGAATGGGAGAAAATCTTTGCAATCTACTCATCCGACAAAGGGCTAATATCCAGAACCTATAAAGAACTCAAACAAATTTACAAGAAAAAAAAAAAGCATCAAAAAGTGGGCAAAGGGTATGAACAGTCACTTCTCAAAAGAAGACATTTATGCAGCCAACATACACATGAAAAAATGCTCACCATCACTGGCCATCAGAGAAATGTAAATCAAAACCACAATGAGATATCATCTCACACCAGTTAGAATGGCGATCATTAAAAAGTCAGGAAACAACAGGTACTGGAGAGGATGTAGAGAAATAGGAACACTTTTACACTGTTGGTGGGACTGTAAACTAGTTCAACCATTGTGGAAAACAGTGTGGCAATTCCTCGAGGATCTAGAACTAGAAATACCATTTGACCCATCGATCCCATTACAGGGTATGTATCCAAAGGATTACAAATCACGCTGCTATAAAGACACATGCGCATGTATGTTTATTGCGGCACTATTCACAATAGCAAAGACTTGGAATCAACTCAAATGTCCATCAGTGACAGACTGGATTAAGAAAATGTGGCACATATACACCATGGAATACTATGCAGCCATAAAAAAGGATGAGTTTGTGTCCTTTGTAGGGACATGGATGCAGCTGGAAACCATCATTCCCAGCAAACTATCGCAAGGACAGAAAACCAAACACCGCATGTTCTCACTCATAGGTGGGAATTGAACACTGAGATCACTTGGACATGGGAAGGGGAACATCACACACTGGGGCCTTTTGTGGGGTGGGGGGAGAGGGGAGGGATAGCATTAGGAGATATACCTAATGTAAATGAGGAGTTAATAGGTGCAGCACACCAACATGGCACATGTATACATATGTAACAAACCTGCACATTGTGCACATGTACCCTAGAACATAAAGTATAATAATTAAAAAAAGACATGCGCACACATATGTTTATTGTGGCACTATTCACAATAGCAAAGACTTGGAATCAACCCAAATGTCCATCAATAATAGACTGGATTAAGAAAATGTGGCTCATACACACCATGGAATACTATGCAGCCATAAAAAAGGATGAGTTCATGTCCTTTGTAGGGACATGGATGAAGCTGGAAACCACCATTCTCTGCAAACTATCGCAAGGACAAAAATCCAACCACTGCATGTTCTCACTCATAGGTGGGAACTGAACAATGAGAACACTTGGACACAGGAAGGGGAACATCACACTCTGGGGCCTGTCATGGGGTGGTGGGAGTGGGGAGGGATAGCATTAGGAGATATACCTAATGTAAATGATGAGTTAATGGGTGCAGCACACCAACATGGCACATGTATACATATGTAACAAACCTGCACGTTGTGCACATGTACCCTAGAACTTAAAGTATAATAAAAAAAATGAGTATCAAGCCATGAAAAGACATGAAAGAAATTGAAATGCATATTTCTAAGTGAAAGAAGCCAATCTGAAAAGGATACCTATCATATGATCCTAAAATATGACATTCAGTAGAAATAAAACTATGGAGATAATAAAAATATCCATGGTTGACAGGGGTTGGGGGAGGAGTGATCAATACTTAGAGCACAGAGGATTTTAAGGGCAGTAAAACTATTGCACATGATACTATAATGGTAGATGCATGTAATACATTTATCCAAACCCATGGCATGTACCACGCCAACGGTGAACTTAATGTAAACTACGGGCTCTGGGTGAGAATGATGTGTCAACATAGGTCCATTGATTGTAACAAATGTACCACTTGGGTGAGGTTGTTTATAGTGGAGAAGGCTGTGCATATGTAGGAGCCGGGAGTATGTGGCAAATCTCTGTACTTTCTGCTCAATTTTGCTTTAAACCTAAAACTGCTCTAGAAAAGAGTCTACTGAAAGAAACCCCAGACAACTCAGGATATCCATGGAAATCAAAGTTAGTTAACCACAAAGGACCAACAACTCTGTGAGAGTAACCAGTTGTGCCCAGACACTAACTGACTTGTGTTTTTACTATTCTCAGAGCAAGGAAAGTCACTGATTGTAATAACTCTTAACTTTGGCCTTGGTACTTTAGCATTGTTAGTGTGTGAGTAAAAATTACTTATATTCTGGTAAGGTCCTGAGTTGTGTAACCTATGTAGTTTTCTTTACTTGCTGTGTTTAACCCAAATTCCATTACTCAGTTTGATTCAAGCTGTTCTGTTTATTCTTTACAGAACTGACTTCAAGAGTGTCAAACACTTCTGCTCCTCTCACAGTTCTTAACTGCTCCTTCTCCTGATTTCTATGCTTCATTTTCTCCTGGCTTATCTCTGCCTCTTCAGCAGAGCTCGGTGACAACCCCCGGGCCCTTTTATTTTTATTTTATATTTACTCACTTTTGTCAGTCCACATTTCCACAGAGGGATTTTGTCATTTTTATTTAGATTCTGGCCTTGATTCTATTTACTTATCAAAGGCTTCAGAATCCTTTGGGATCTATAAGGCAGAGCGGAGAAAAGTTAACTACAAGAAAAGCTACTTCAACTGCACAGCGAAGGGTCCTTGTCTGTGCGCACAGTGAGATCTTCACGTCAATTATTTTAGTTTTACCTACACACACACTGGAAGCCACATTGGGATCTAATTTTGAGGACATTATGTGCTGACAGATAGCAAAACACATCTACATAAAATCCTTTCTTCTTGCTACCTCATAAATTTGAACGAAGTGGGTAAAACTAAGTTTTGGTTATCAGAGAATAATTTGGATTAGTCTCCTTTTTACTAAACACTCACATCCAATGTTACATCACTTCTGTTTTATATTCACTGTCAGGCTATGCTACATGTGCCAATTAAGCTTATAAAATTGAATTTGATAAATTATTTTATCTTGTACAGAGATGTGTTTCTGGAGCAATTAACCTATAAGAGAGAAAAGAAATGGGAAAAGTTACACCCTTCTTTCATTTTTCTTGAAATGGATCATGAAATCTAATTTGAATAACAGCTTTAAGAAATTACATGCTGTTTCTACTTGATGTTATACAAAAGCTTTGCCTCTTTTCCTTGTTGGCCACCTCTGTTGTCATGACAACGAATGTGATTTCACAGAGGCAGCAGTGCATTTGTTGAGCAGGAAGAGTGGGCCACTGTTTATGAGAATAATTATTTAAGAACAGGTGTCATTAACATAAGATTAATTGTCAAACTCATTAGAAAAAGAACAAAATGGAATATTATTATCACATAAAATCAGGAAAATATTAGAAGAAAAATAGTGTAAGTATACTAGACACTTGAGTGTACACAGCGTTCTTGTGGGCTAATTCAGTATAAATATGGAAATGCATATAATATAAACATACGGTCATTGAAATTTAGCCCTGGAAGGGATCCTGAAAATAAATCTAGTATAAACTCTTGAGCTGTTATAATGAAAAAAATTAAAAAATGAGACTGTTCTTCAACAAGATGCATAATTTCTTGTGGGAAATCAATGAACACTAGAAATATATGTTACCATTAGGAGAAATGCAGAGCTAATCTAAGTGGATATTACATGGTTTCAGATTCACCTCTGTATTAATGAAATAAATATATTTTCTTATAATCTCTGAGAAGCTTCTGAACTGAGTCCATGGTTTTATGGTAATGCACCATTACATCTAGGGAGGTAATCCCAATTGAGCAAAGTAATTGAGTTTTCAATATAATTTTTTTTTTTTTGCAAATGTGAGATAATGAAATACTTCTCACTAAAAATGAAAGTGAAGTTGAGTCAAATTGTTATTCTTGAAAGTGTAAAGAGCGACTCAGCTAAAGAGCAGTTGCTGATAACCATCTAAACTCTCTTATTCATCCTCAAAATTCATCCAGTAAAATTTTTCTTTTGGAATTACTTGAAAATAAGTGGACAGGATAAGAGTTTTCCAATTTCAAGAGAACTCAGGATTTATGAGAAGCGCTAATGAATATTTGTGAACCAATAGTAAGTCTGCCCACAGCATTAATAATGTCCCTGCAATTCCATGCCATTTCTCTTCTCAAAATGTGATGATTATAAGGTTGTAGTTTCAGTGACTTCCGAAGGTTTAAACACTTCCTTCTCCAACATTTATGAGACATTTCTCAACATAGCAGGGACTATTAGATTTGTCAGCTTCAGAAAGTAATTGATATTTTTCCTGTCGATTGCTGTTGTGGAAAACTGTCAGCTATCTCTTGATGTTATTTCCAAGAACACTCTTCATTCTAAATGTGTAGATTTTGCCTTACTGATAGAGATGAGGACAAAAGGGATATATAAATTGTAGGATCAGATTATTTTAAATAATAGGATTCAATTTTTAGATATTAAAAAGTAACAGGAAATCATAAGTTTAGATGCTTTTTATTTTGTTTTGGATCAATGGAAATGCTTAATTTAAAAGAAACGTATTTAGTATATAGAACCATTGGCACCAATTGAAATTTTATTGCAGAGTATGGTTGATGCAAAAGGTAGGGAAAATTTTGAACTGTGATATAACTATATATTGAAGGAGTTTGCATATGTTTAATATTGTGGCAATTGTGACACCAAATATTTAGTTGATGGGTGCATTAAAATGAACACTCAGTTTAGCAAAAACCCCCAAAGGCCATCAGTACAAATGACCTACATCAGTCATGGACATGTCAATAATTCTATGTTAGCTTAGCAAACAGTTCTGAAGATTTTAAGCTGGTGAAAAGAAACACTTGTGTGTGCCTGAGTACATAAGAACCATGCATGCACAAAAGGCAATAAAATATAGTGGCTAAAAGAATGAGCCTTGGAGTCAGAGTTCTAATCCCAGCTTGGACTTTACTTGTTTGGAAACTTTAGATGAGTTACTTAAAGTCCTGAAACCTCAGTTATGCTGCTATAAAATGGGGATAATAATTTCTTACTCACTGGGGTGGAATGTGATAAAAAATTATCTTGCGCATAGTAGGTACTCAACGGTAGTAATAATGATTACTCTTTTGATAGGCTTAGTGAGTCTGTGTGGTAAAGGTAAAATATCATTACTCATTTTTATTTTAATTAAGAATACTTTTGTTCTAGGAAATAAACAGATGAATTATAGCTAAAGTACTGAAAATTTTGAAATAGACTTTTAGATTATTACACAGATGCTTATTGTAACCCCTATAAAAATGTACATTGTATTGTTTACTGTCTAACGAATCTTAAAGTGCCAGTTGTAAACTAACCTATATAATGGTTAATAAAGTATTTTGGGTGAAGAAACATGGGTAGCCTAGGCAGTCTGGTATAAAAGGCCCCAGCTACATAGTGTGGTGCCATTTCTTTGGAGAAATTGCAGTGCTGGCTTCTAGATTAGAATGCTCTTATATGGGTTGCTGACTCTGTGCTGTACTACGTGCATTGGTGTGCTGATAAACTGGCTCCTTCAATGATCACAAAAACAGTGACAGCAAGAGAAACCCAGACTTGTAGCATTTGCCCATTTTTAAGGTGTAGATAATTCCATCATACCTGATTTAAGCTATAATTCTTAAATATTTAATAATCAGCTCTTTGGCAGAAAGGAACTCCTGCACACCACACTAGACATCCTATTATGCTCATCCTACTTACAGATTTCTTGATGACCACTCTGGTGAGGCTATGCCCGTCTGCTAACAGAAACTTGTTGCCTCCATCCTGCCTGTGAGAGACAGGCTTACTGGACCATAATGTGTCTCAATTTGAGAAGCAAATTTGACCTTCCTCTCTAAATTTAAGGTCAATGGGAGGAATTAATGACAATTTCCTTAATGGAATGTTAAAGTGAGTACAAATGCTAGGGCACAAACTAGAAGGATCTACATAAATGATAAGGTCAATTGATTACCTTTTTGGACCTTATATGATTATAGGCACTCACAGAAATTCAAAAGGCAAAGGCATGCTTATATAAAAAAAGATTTTTCTTTGGGCATTTATGGTTCTGGGAAAGGAGCAATTTATCTACACACCTAGACTCTCTATACACAGACATTCTATCTATCTATCTATCTATCTATCTATCTATCTATCTATCTATCTATCTATCTATCATCATCTATGTCTATAATGTTCTTGCTAATAACTCGATTAACAATAAAGACACAACATTACCAGATAACTTTATCATTCTTAAATTTATAAATACCATTAAGTAATTTGCAAATGTTATTTCATCTTTTTTTTGGTTAAAGTTTTGTAACTGATACTATTTTAGGGAGCAAATTAGTACTAAATTGCAGATGTCTGATGTAAAAGAATGTTCATTTTGAAAAGAGATGAAATTGAAATAATTGTCCCTTTTATTGTAGTTGAATTTTCTTCTTGCCTCTTTCTTTTTAGTGGTAATGCTAGATTACACAATTAATTCCTTTTATATTTGGTGGTTTGATTACATTCCCTTAAATGTTATAGAAAGAGAATTTTAAAAACCTCAGTTTTTGTTAAGTCCTAGAATTGACTTTCTCACAGTGGTTTCTTCCTAGGCTGGCTTAGTGGGAAATGTAGGATCATGGATTTGAATTACTGTTAGAGAAGAAAGCTTAGTCTATGCTCTTCATGCAGGCACAGAATCATGAATTATTTTAATCATCATCCACAAACCTGTATTAAACACCTACATTATGCAGAACACTGGACTGGAGATTTGGAAGTGGGTGTCATCAGCAGTGTTTGAGTATTTATTCCCCCTCAAGAAGTCTTGAGCTATGTAAAATAGCCATGCACACAGATTTGTGGCTGTTATCTTGTAATCCCACAATTTCTGTTGGAGAACTTCACCATATGTCAGATCTTCCTTACTTTGCTAGGTTTAGCTATGCCAAGTTATTTTAAGGAACAGATTCATGATTAATAGCAGAACTTCTGGGTGAGTTTTTAGGAAGAAAAAACCCTGTGTCCAGGCATTTATCCCAGTGCCATGTAGGAAACAGAGGAAATCAGAACTGAGCCCATATGGAGAGAGGTCTTGGAGTCTAACATGTGTTATATATTTCCTGTGTCAGTTTTCCTATCTCAGTGATAATGCAAAGAACCTGCAGCTTAAAGAAAGAAGACAAAGGTTATAAATGTACAGCATCAAATAGCCAGAACACAGTTAGGACTTCAAGATGAATTCACGTTAATCTCCCTGGGAAAAAGCAGTTTCCACAACTTGGTGCAGGTCTCAGTGTGAACTGAAGAAACAAAACGTAGCAAAACAGTGAGAGAGAGAAAGAATTATTGATTTAGTGGGGTTGCTAATAGTTAGGGTAATGAGCTTCCTTTGAAGCAAAAGGCTCTGCCACAGGAAAGAAAGGCAGCATTTCTGCAAATAGAAGTGAGAGGCATTCAAGCATAAAAAGACAGCAAATATTCTGGGGTATTTTTAATTTGATTGTTGGGAGTCTGGATATCTGTAACTCTTGCAGATATAGCTTTAGTTAAGTGACAGGAAAGAAAAACAGAGAAAGAAACTGGAAGTCTATTATTAAACCCTTTTCAAATATTAAGTTTTTTTTTTTTCCTTCAGTATTATTCTTTGGCCTATAGATTTTCGTTCTTTTTTTGTCATTAAATTCAAGAGCATAGCTATGTTTGGATTATAATGCAATATCCTAGTCCTGAACTTCAAACTGTAGAAGAATTTTAAGGTGAGATGAGTTGTTTTAACTAATATATTGCCGATTTAAACTGAGATGTAGTAATTCATAAGGCAAAAAAAAAAAAAAAAAATTCATCATTTGCTCAGGCCTCTATGGAAGGCAGCAGGCGCCCGTGCAAACTCGCTGAAGTCATTTATTAAAATGTTTTCAAGGCCAGTAATCAAATCTAGGGAAGAGAACTAATATTTACTGAGTACCTACCAGATTCTAGATACTGTGATAAGCACTGATATTTCTGAACAACTCTATGAAGAAGATTGGGAAATCTCAGTTACAGAGAGGATGAATTAATGTTCAGAGAAGTGAAGCAATATACAACAGACTATATGGCAATCCATATGGTTCTTACTGCAAATGCCAGCATGGCCCACTGGAGAGGGCCTTCTAGTAGAGAAGCATTGTACAGGTGTGAATTAATGGGACAACATTCGGTTCTATGTGTTTATTTTTTGAGTGAGGAAACTGAAGCTTGCTATGATTATATAATTCACTGTAAGCTCCAAGTGGCAGAGATAGGTGCTTGGATTCTGATTCATTAATTGTTTGGCCACTGCCATATTTATGAATTTACAGGTGCTCTTTAACAGCACATGCCATCAAAAGTTTAGATCACAAGGTTTCCTGCCTATTAAAATCTCAGGGTGAATGTATTTCCTTAACTGGCTTTTCATCACCTTCTATTTCTGCCTTTTTCTTTTCTTTTTACACAGTTCCCAAAGGATTTGACTGATATAGCTTTCATTTTAAGCTACCATTATGATCCATCTGGGTTTTTGGTTTTGAGAGCCACCATGTAACTTAACACGCAGCTTTTCCTCAGCCTTCAAAATTAACTCTCAAATGTCATTTTATCTTTATAGATATGTTCCTGCTGGTATCTTAAAGAGAAAGAAGAATACTGGTTAATTCAAAAAAGCAAATAGCAAGGAAGCCGTAAGGTTGAAGATATATTTCAAAACAGAATCCTAGTTATAACCGGACTTAGCTCTCTATGAAATGTGAGTAGTCCTGTGTCTATTACCCTTTAGCCCCCTTCGTTGATTCTCTTTCTAGACAGTTTCCTAGAGGGCTTTATTCTTTCGTTATTTGTCATTTCTCACACTGGGGCCCTCTACACTCAGTGTTCCCCTTCATTTCTGGTCTTGTAGTTGGTTATCCAAGGGTGTCTGTGAACCCCAACCTCCAAGTTCTCCATTTGTGTAAGCAATGGGGCATTAAGCCTTGCCTAAATTTCGGCCAAATCTTTGCGACTGGAAGATTAGAAAGAGAGATGGCTGAAGATGTCTAGAAATGGAGAAAACAGAAAAAAAGTGATGATGCCATGGGAATGGATACAATTATTTTGACCATCCTCAACCTTTTTCTCTAAACCAGTGGCTGACATCAAGGGCATGAGGTTGAGGGAAGATGAATTCTGGGGGGGGCCGATGTAAAGCACTTAGAATTCCTGGAGAAGGAGAACTGGGACCATGACACATACATCCTAGAGATAGGATGCCTTAGAATGTGGGAACTAGAACAGGAAAACTCTTCATGTCTCCAGTCATTAAATGTTAAGGATGAAGTTAAAAGAATGATCTTTTACAAGATTTAGTTTTCCTTTGCAATATTTTGTCTTAACATTTATTATTTATAAATTTTTTATAAGCTAATTGTTAGTTCAGGCCTCCCACCCTCATGATATATAAACTTGACTTGAACTAATAATGCCACTGCTTGTGGAAGCCACAGGTCTTTCAAAACATCAGAGACATCCCAAGTTTTACCTGCTATGGTCTGTCTTCTCCATCTATGAAATCTTTATTGTTACATGTGGCCTGTTTTATTATGTGTTGAATGGATATAAATGTTTACTTATTTCCAAAAATAAGCCCTGCTATAGTTTGAATGTGATCTTTCTAAAAGGCAGCTTTTGCCATGTCATAGTATTAAGAGGAGGGACCTGTAAGAGGTAATTAGTCCATGAAGGTTCTTCCCTCATTAATAGGATAAGATGCTCTTATAAAAAGGCTTGATGCCACAGCATTCTTCCTCTCCAATGGATGCAGCCCTTACCAGACAACTGAACCTGCTGGCACCTTAATCTTGGATTCTCAACCTCCAGAAGTATGAGAAAATAATTTTCTGCTCTTCATACATGACCCAGTCTCAGGTATTTTGTTATAGTAGTGCAAATAGACTAAGATAGCCCCTCACCAACCCTTTGGCTTCTACTTTGTCTCTTCTGTCATTTTCTTTCATTTTTTCTCCTTCTCCAGATACCCCAAATTTCTTTTTGTGTCCAAAATCTTCACATTAGCAGATAGTCAGGCTTTGCACAGATGCTTACTCCAAGATAAAGACTCTTTTCAACAAAAGTGGCCTTCTGCTTAAGGGAATTTCTTGCATTTGTAGCTCCTAGAAGAATAATAATATGGTCTTTATATTTTAATAATATTAAATTACTGAAAAAATTTGTCTTTAGAAACTACAAGTGAGAATAATCTAGTTTAATCAATCTTTTCTTCCAAAGTTATTGTGACCTATTATTTTGTCCTCAAATAGTAAAAGCTTTTTGTGAATATATTTGCTTGTCATGACATGAGGACAAACTCTGTGAATATGAGAAAGTTTTTCCAAGTCTCATGCCCCAAAGAGGGCTATGTTAGTCTTAGATTTGTACAAGAAGGAATTTGGACCAGAAGCAAGTAGAATTTAGCAGGACGCACAATCCCCCCATTTCTGTTACATATTCAAATATGTCACATTCTTCTTTTTCCATCCGGAGTAAGGCCTCAATATTGTAGCAGTCCCCTTCCTTCTGAAACCAGCACTCCTGGAAGAATATTCTCTAACCAGGCTTGAATATTTCTTCCCAGGTAACTCTTCATAGGGAGACCCAGTGATGATTCTTTGACTATAACTTCTACTTGACGCTGGAGTACTACTGATTTTCCCTAACTCTATAGGTTGTTGGATCAGACAATACCAAATTCATGAAGGGGTCTCAATTATTTCTTAAAAGAATAATTTAAAGAAAGATAGTTGCTTGCTGAAGAGGGCCTCTTATGTGATTCTTCTACCAGGGTTCAGTTCAGGGTTCATAAAACATCTTGACCTGCCACAGACACTATATGCACTATTGTATCTATCGGGGCTTGCAAAGAAAGTGGCAGAAAGACTTCTTTAGAAGGATAAGCCCACTAGAAAATTATGTTTTGCTCTCAAAATCTGAGAAATCTTACAGCTTACTTAGTAATGTCCACATATCTTACATGCTCCTTTTAAAATCTAAAGAGGCCTACCAATTACCTTATCCTACTGGTAGGAGATACAAATTTGGCTTCTTTTATTTTACTATGGAGAAGACATATTGATACACTACATAGGACTAAGCCTCCAAAAATGTCAATGAGCACACAAGTTCTTGGATTTTGTGGAATTTTTGTCTTATTCTCTATAAACACATTTTTCCCAGGGTAAATAAAGTACCCTTTTTTTCCCCCCCCATTCACCAGGTCCTGCCAGGAGGATCGTTGAACATATTTATGTACTTTGGGATGGTGAGGGACCAAAGGACCTAAGAACAATTTATGGCATAGACATGGAGAGCATATATAGTCATGCTAAGTAAAAGCAAGTCTACTCTCTATTTTCCATTTATTGCAAAAAGAAAAGAAAGGATAGCTAGATCGGTAGTTATATACCTTGTTCCAGGGGTTAGATGGACTTGTTTTAGTAAAAGCACCCACCATCTCTGGTAGGTGCTTTTCACATCCACATATGAATGTTTTACTATGTCTGAAGCTGGAAACTTAATATTTTCAATCTTTAATATCTTTCATCTCTGAGAAAATAGGTAAAATTGAGGCAGTTAATATAAATTACTAAACAAAAATTGCTTTTCTCCAAAACCCATCTGTCTTTTGAATTACACAGACAAGTTAATCACGGATATGATAAGTTCATTATTACTATATCTTTCAAGTATTTGACGGTGGCTTTATTCTTATGATTTTAATTTGATGTTGGAGTGCTATTAATTCCTGCATGGACATGGTATTGCTTTTGCTTCAGTATTCTAGTAAAATGTGAGGGAGGAGCAACCGGGGCTTCTCCTGGCCCTTCCAACCAAACAGTTCCTATGTATAGTTCAGAGAACCACTGTGGAGGTCCCTTCCAACTGTAGTCTTAGGAAATGGGGAAATAACACAGTTTGGGCTCACAGACTCAACTAATATATCATGAAGTGGACTCGGGGCAAAACCCTATTTATTACCTGATTCTCATGGTTTCCCTGTGACTAAAAGACCTCAGAGGCATTTTAGGTTTGCATTAACTCAAAACCAATATCTGAGAACTTATCGTGTGTATAGGTATTTACCCTCTTCTGACACTCTTTTACCCTGGTAAATGTCTATAGGTCTCTTTGGAGAATGTTAAGAGGAAGATTTACAATATGTATATGTGATGATATTATAGAATCTTTCATTAAATTATTTTTTCTTCCTTATAATAAAAGGGGTCTGGAAACTGATTCGGGTCTAGGAAACAGGTTGGGAGCCATGACTCTTTATCGTGGTGACTTAAATCTGGCCTCATTAATCTGGCCTAATTTTGTGTTATAATGATCAAGTAGAATATTGACTACCCATTTCTCTCCTAAATGTCTCATGACCAATATGCAAATACCAAAGATTTTTATAGGTCAATTCATTTTTCTTGCACTCTGGCCCTGCTGCCTATCAAAGTAACCCTATGCACCTCATCTCAGTGGTTACCAGGCTTCATTTCGGTTGCTGTCGCCTCTGGACCCCATCGCCCCTGTTGAGATCAAGAATCCCATTTCAAAGGAAACATGCTTCATCTTCTTGGCCTACCAAATCAGGTACTAGTGCACTTTTAAGGGATACTGGTGCTTTTTCATCCCCATATGAATGTTTTACTATGTCTGAAGCTGGAAATTTAACATCTTCAACTTATTACTTAAACTTTTAAAGTCCTGTACATTTAACAGCAACTAGCTTGCTTTCTAGTTCCTGTGCTTTCTATGCCCCTCCTAATGATTTTTCAGAGAAGCTATGTGGTCTACCAAATGCTTGCCTTCTATAGACACTTTATATCAGGTTATGAAATTGTCATTTTAAGTAATATTTGCCACTACATCCAAGGATTAGTAGTGTACCATCCTCTAATATTAACTGCACATTTGTTGGCTTCAAATCCAACTAGGTCAGACAATCAATCTCATTTCCCTGAGGAGTCTTTTTGCCTTCAAACACTTCAGGTTTATAAACAACATATAGGTTAAGATCTTTAGTTGCAGCCAATAGAACCTACTCTAGCCAATTTAAATATATTTATTTTGTTTTATTTTATTTTATTTTTTGAGATGGAGTCTCACTCTGTTGCCAGGCTGGAGTGCAGTGGTGTGATCTTGGTTCACTGCAACCTTTGCCTCCCAAGTTCAAGCGATTCTCCTGCCTCAGCCTCCCAAGTAGCCACCACGCCCAGCTAATTTTTTTTTTTGTATTTTTATTAGAGACGGGATTTCACCATCTTGGCCAGGATGGTCTTAATCTCTTGACCTCGTGATCCGCCCGCCTCAGCCTCCCAAAGTGCTGGGATTACAGTCATGAACCACCACACCTGGCCTTAACTAGATTTATTAAGGGACATAGAGAGCTCAGGATGAATAAATAGACGATAGGCTGTGTGATGGTTATTTTCCACTGCTATCTACCTGCTCACTACTGCCCAATCCTTCTTTGCCCTGATGTGCCCCAGGACATAGACTTTCATAGACTGCATGAGCTGGGCTCTTAGAACCTTGGCTTCCAGTTGGGTTCATCCAATAGGAAGCATAATTAAGAGAATCAGAATTCAGAAAGAGAGATTAAGTGTATATTCCTCACCTGTGGTTCTGGCAGTGGCTGGATTCCTTTAAGCCTATATTTTCTGTCAGGTGGTCTCTTCTTCCTGGCCTTAGCTTTCCCTGGGGTCCAGGAACAATATTAGCTTTCTTGTCCTTTCAGACCTAAGGGTGATTAGTCCCTGGCTGCTTAACCAGCCATTTTCATTTTCCTTAAATTTTTCTATATTTCTGCAATAGTTTTTCTAATAAATTCTCCACAACTAAACCTTTCTGAGTGTGTCAACTGTTTCCTGTTGGGAGCCTAACTGATATAGGTTGAATTTCTGAGACTGACAGAACCATCTGCTATCTCTGCAAAGACCAGAAAGTTTCCAGTACCACACCAGCTGTCAGCTCCAGAAGCATGTGATGCCTTTCATGACCACTAAGCTGCTGAATCAGGAGCTGTTGCCATACCTGGGGACTCCAGGACAGCACAACACTGCTGTTATCCACCTAGCTAGATGCTGTTACCATCTCTTCATGTACTTCAGTTCTGAATTAAAGTCTTGCACAAGTGCATCTAATGGTGGAATTTAAGTTATCTGTCATCACTTAAGCAATAAGAAAAGACGAATAAAATAGTGTTTGCATTTTTATGTTCGGGAGGAAGAATTCACACACGTTTCCAAACGTAGAAGAGGTATTTAGAAAATCTGGGGCATGTGACAGATGTTCACTTATTATTATCTCTCTCATTCCCTTTTGTCCTTTGACTATCATATTTGTCAAAAAAAAAAGCATATTTAATTTTATGCTTTTTTCATTTCTTCTATTCTGATTTCCCTTTATCTGATTTTATTGCTCATCCTTCAGTGTTTTTTTTTTTTTTTTTCTTGCTTTAGAATAGTTTGAGTATTCTCTACGATATGGTTTGGCTGTGTCCCCACCCACATCTCATCTTGAATTGTAGCTCTCATAATTCCCATGTGTTGTGGGAGGGATCGTGTGGGAGATAATTGAATCATGGGTGTGTTTTTCCCCATACTGTTCTCATGGTAGTGAATAATTTTCACAACTTCTGAAGGTTTTATAAGGGATTTCGCCTTTCACTTGTCTCTCATTCTCTCTTGCTTGCCACCATATAAGAGGTCCCTTTGCTCTCCCTTTGTCTTCCGCCTTGATTGTGAGGTCTCCACAGCCATGTGAAACAGTGAGTCCATCAAACCTCTCTCCTTTATAAATTACCCAGTCTCAGGTATATCTTTGTTAGCAGTATGAAAACAGACTAATACACTCTAGTAACCACCGTTTTATAATTTTTCTTCAAGCTAGAGATAAGAGCCCAGTATGGTTGAGGCTGGCCTCTCCCTTTATTGAGGATTCAAGACTGCTCTTTCCTGGTCAAGGAAAGTTGGGATTCCTTTGAAGAGACAGGTGTAAACACCTAAATCCAAAGTTGAGGGAATGTGCAGAGTAGCGGTTTTCAAAGTGTGGTTTGAGGACTCCTGGGAGTCAACAAGCTCCTCTCAGGAAGTTTATAAGATTTTTCCTTTTCCACTTACATAGCTCTGCAAGGCTGGATTTTCTCCATTGACTTCAACAAAAATACTATATCACAACATGTTGAATGGTGAAGCAGATATGAGACTTCAGCTAACTTCTGTTAAGTCAGATAATAAAGTTCTGGAAAACGTAAATCAAATGCTATTATTCTCACTTTTTTGTTTTGGACAATATAGAGATTTCTGTATTTATTGTTATTTTAAAATTGATAAATATTTGACAATAATTTATTTTATATAATATTAATAGTAACTATATTAAATAACAAATATTAAAATAATAAGTATTTTTAAACTTCTCAGTTTTACTTTCTAGATGAGATTGGGCATGTTTAGGGTAGTATGGCTGTAGACAGTTTTACTTTCTAATACAGTAAAAATCAATAAATTAAATCCACATGAACATAAAGCTCTTTGGGTATTCAATTTTTAAGAGTTTAAAAGGGTCTTAAGACCATGCATTTGAGAACCTCTCATATAGGGTGTGTGTGTATCTGTAGCTTGATTTGTGTACAACCCAGAAGATAGTTGGTGAGATAAAATAGGTCTTGCTATGACTATTACATTTTGAAGGTCCATCAATGATTTAAAATCCAAATTTATTTTCATCAGTGACCCATGTACTCTAATTTTTTCTCATTTATTAGTTTTCTAAATCCTTAAAAGATAGAAATAACCAATCAATAAATTTCAGAAATCTCAAATTCCCTAATTAATCAAATCAAGTACAATTTTAGATATACTATACTGTTCTACTATGTCAATTTATCTCTTCTATATTTTCAGTTTTTTTAGTTATCCATAAGGGGTAGTGACTGTATTGATGTAGCTCACTCTCCCACTCCAGGCCCAAGAGGTTATTGACTTTGTTGGTCTAGCTCACTGCTTGCTCTACTCCCAGCATTTAGCACAATGACTGCCACCCAGCTAATTCTTAGTAAATACTTAATTGAAATAAAGTGAACCGATCAGAATTAAGTTCTCAATAATTTCCTCTTCAATGATTAGAACTCAGTTATCTGGGAGAGAGCTCATTATTTAATAAAATAAATATGAAACTCAGGTTCAAAACTAATTTTGGTTATGGTCTGATTGAAGATTTAACTGTATTCTTTTCTTGAAGTTTCATGGCCTCAGGACTTAATGTCTGCTTCCCATTCTCCCCATATATTGGTGCTAGCTAGAAAAACAAATTTAAATTTTTATTTCTGTGGCTGATAAGTTGAATACATAGAACCATAGCATTCAATTAAGCTAATCATTAATTTTTCCTGAATCCCAATTTTCCTTCTCTAAAATTATAGAATTGCATAGCATCAGTTTATCATTTCTGAAGGAGAAATTTGTGTTGGTCACTTGAACCTTTACTGCTCAGCCTCTGTGGGGCTTCATCTGCCAGAGGAAAGTGTGAAATACAGAATTCTTCAGGTTCTAGTCTCTCCATTTTGGGTTTAATGCTTGGAGTCATGACTCAGGCATGCATACATATAATGTCCTTTATCCTCTGTGAGTGAATTCACCTTTCCCCTGAGCCCTGTCTTGTGTGGTCCCTGTGATTAATCTTTCTCTTTAAAGGTAACAGTTCTTTCACTTTCCTCAGTCCTATCCAAATTACCCCAGACATTTTTGAGTAAATAAATACTCAAGCTTTCAGGGTTTCTTTCTCCCTAATTTTCCTTCTGAATCTGGATGCAGGGTTCCTTTACTCAACACGTCACATTGTTCTTATTTAATTTAATGGCATTAGGGGTGGAGCCTCTGGTCCATTTACTGTCCTCAGTGCCTTGCTGACCTCCGCTGAGGGATCTCCTCTTGCCTGGCATGTGCGTATCTATCTCTGAGTTGCTGTATCTGCTGTCATCACGTTGCTTCTGCAGTGTTAATGCTGTCACCTGGGGTTTGTTCTCTTAGCTTTGTCAGTACACAGTGATTCCTTCCCACTGGTTTTCCCTCAGAGTTACCTGCGATCTTGCTGTGACTCCTATGTAGCCCTTCCAATATTTGAATATGTCCTTTCTAAAATTCAGATGTTGCCATTGTGATAATATTAAGAGGTGGAACAGGACCTTCATGAGGTGATTAGGTCAGGAGGGCATCTCCCCTCATTAATAGGATTAAGCCTATATCTCATGCACTGTCCATAGATGGTAGAGAAACAAAAACTTTATAGGAGAAATAAAGTAGGAAAAACAGGTTTTATTGTTGTTATTCAGAGATAACAGAATAAAATTTATTGAGAACAAGAAAGAATATATCTAAAGAACAGAAGAGCTTATATTCTGTTCTTTTAAAAAATTTTGCTAAGTGTAAGAAAGCAGAAAATTGGATCTCTAGTATCCTCCAGCTCTCAAGTTTTCAGTCAGTGGAACTCAATATTGTAACAGGTTTTAGAATTAGGTTTTAGATAATTGAATTTTAGATAATAGGAGATTAATTTTCAAGTGATCTGTATTAGGCATTAAACTACACATGTGTAAATTGCTTAGAAGCAGGTAAGGAAAAAAAAATGCAAAGAAGAAATCAAAAGGGAAATTAAGAAATACCCTGAGACAAAAAATGAAAACACAATATACCAAAACTTGCGGGATGCAGCAAAACTAGTACTAAGGGAGAACTTATAGCAATGAAAGTTGGTCCTACATCAAAAAAGAAAGATCTCAAATATATAAATTAGTGTTCCACTTCAAGGAGCTAGAAAAAAAAAACAAAGCCTAAAGTTAGCAGAAGGAAAGAAGAAAGATCAGAGCAGAAATAAATGAAATAGAGTAGAGAAAAACAATAGAAAAAATAAACAAAACTGAGTTTAGTTTTTGAAAATATAAACAAAATCATCAAACTTTTAGCTAGACTAATAAAACAAGAGACAAAACTCAGGTAAATAAAGTTAGAAATAAAAAAAGAGACATTACAACTAATGCCATAGGAATAAAAAAGATCATAAGAGACTATTATGAACAATTATATACGAATAAATTGGATAACCTAGAAGAAAGGGATAAATTACTAGACACATACAATTTACCAAGACTAAATAATGAAGAAATAGAAAATCTGAACAGGCCTATTACTAATAAGAAGATGGAATCAGTAATCAAAATCCTCCCAAAAGAGAAAAGCCCAGAATAGTTGACTTCACTAGTAAATTCTACGAAACATGCCAAGAATTAATGTCAATCCTCAAACTCTTCAAAAAAATTCAACAGGAAGAAATACTTCCAACTCATTTTATAAGGCCAGCAGTATCCTGATATGAAAGCCAGACAAAAACACCACAAGAAAAGAAAACTATAGGCTGAAATCCTGGATGAACATAAATGCATGCAAGGGATGCAAGGATTGTTTGGCATAAAAAATGAATTAATGTAATACATCAGATTAATAGAATGAAGAATAAAAATCATGATCATTTCAATAGATACAGAAAAAGGATCTGACAAAATTCAACACTCTTGAAATGATAAAAATTCTCAATAAACTAGGGATAGAAGGAAATTACATTAACATAATTGAGGCCGTATATGAAAATCCCATAGCTAACATCACATTCAATGGGGACAAAATAAAATCTTTTCCTCTAAGATCAGAAAGAAGACAAACATGCCCACTTCCACCACTTCTAGTCAACATAGCACTAGGAGTCCTAACCAGAGCAATTAGGGAAAATAAAAGGTATCTGAATTGGGAAGGAACAAGTTATATTCTTTGTGTTTGCAGATAACATAATCTTATATGTAGAAAACCCTTGAGATTCCATTAAAAACCGTGTTAGGACTAGTAAATGAATTCAGTACAGTTGCAGGATAAAGATTAACATACAAAAATTAGTTGTGTTTTTATACACTAAAATGGTTCTATCCAAAAAGGAAATTAAGAAAAGAATTCTGTTTATAATAACACTGAAAAAAAACCCCAAATTTAAGAATAAAATAAGAAGGTGAAAGATTGCACACTGAAAATTAGAAAAATTTGATGAAACAAATGAAAGAAGATAGAAATAGAAATAAATCGAAAGCCTTCCCTGGTTTATGTACAGGAAGACTTAGTACTGCTAAAATGTGCATATGACCTAAAGCAATCTATAGACTCAATGCAATCTCTATCAAAATCCCAATAACATTTTTTTTTACAGAAAAAAATCTTCAAATTCAGATGGAGCCACAAGGATCCTTGAACAGACAAAACAATTTTGAGGAAGAAGAACAAAGCTGAAGGCCTCACTTCTCTGTTTTAAAATGTATTGCAAAGTAACAATAAGTAAAACAATATGGTACTGGCATAAAGACAGAAATATACACCAATGGAACAGAATAAAGATCCCAGAGATAAACACACACAGTTAACTGGTTTTCAATAAGGGTACCAAGAATATACAATGAGGGAAAGATGGTCTCTTTTACAAATAGTGTTGGGAAAACTAGATATACACATGCAAAAGAATGAAATTGGACCCTTGTCTCACACCATATGAGTCCTGTCCAAAAAATCAACTCAAAATGGATAAAAGACTGAAACGTAAGACCTGAAACTGTAAAACTGTTAGAAGAAGACATGGGAGAAATCTCCTTGATATTGGTCTTGGCAATAGTTTCCTAAATATGACACCAAAAGCACAGCCAACAAAAACGAAAACAGACAAGTGGAATGACATTAAACTAAAAAGCTCCTACACAGAAAAGGAAACAGTCAACTACGTGAAAAAGCAATCTACAGAATGGGAGAAAATATTTATAAACCATACATCTGATAAAGTGTTATTTTCCAAAATATATAGGAACTCATACAATTCAATAGGAAAAAAAAGAAGAACAAAAAAACAAAACAAAAACAAAGACTTAGAGAAAACAAAAACAAGAACCCTAAACACTGGCAATGTGATTAAAAAATAGGCAAAGGACTTGACTAGATATTTCTCCAAATAAGACATACAAATGGTCAATAAGATTAAACATAGTGCAAAGTATTTTCTTTCAATCTGTCAAATGTCTACAAAAATGGGAAGGGTGGCCATTTCCTATCTTTTTTGAAATGTCACCTGATTTCCTGTTGCCAATGATGTGTTTTTGTAGAAGGAATGCCTATAGCTGGAGAATTTAAATGCAGACAACACATACTTTTTATCTATATGAAACTAATTGAAATAGACAGGAATCCATCTTATTTCAGGAGGTACTGTGTAGAAGGAGATGTATCCAAACTATGCCCAAGTATAATGGAAATGAAGAAAGAGCTATCTTAATACTTATGGGGATAATATAACATTTTAAAAAGCACCTCACTTATAAGATTAATCCTAGGTTGATCCGATAAGGTAAAGTATTGTAAGACCTGTATTCTTTCTAAGGACAAATAAACAGTAGTTACAAGTGAAAAAGTCTAGTGGAAGATCTGCAAGTGCTTGAATAGTTTTCCTGAATTCTTTGTTTATTTTAATTCCTGTTTAGATTTGAATTTCAGAGTCTGGCTTTTGTTGGCTACAAGTTTCTGGAAAGATAGTGTTAGCACTGATACCATCTATGAATGGCCCATTTAAGGAGTTACAAGTCATCATTTACCCTAAAATATTCCCTTGTGCATCTGTCATTGTGTCTAAAACATTCCTGTCATGAATTGTGTCTAAAAATTCCTGTCATGAATTGTGTAAAGCAATGAAGGCTGCTGTTGGGCTCATTCTGTCAACATCACAGCTATAATGCCTGTTAGTGAATGACTGACTCTCTTTTAGATAAAACATCTGATTTGATTGAATTGTCATCAGCTACATGACAGAGTTCTAAGGGAATGAGTGGCAGAACAGGTTTTTATGGGGGTGAGGTCTAGATTGTGAGGTTGGGCTTAATCATGAGGCAACATGAAAGAATGAAGACTGTCAGTGGGAGACCAGGAAAGTTTTGTGGTTTTAAGAAGGCTTCCTTTGGGACAGAATAATTATCTGAAGTTTGAATAACATATAAGATTTAATATGGACATGAAGTGGAGGAATTTCCTGGTTGAGGAAAGAAACAGGAAAGACAAGGAGGTGTTAATCTGTTTTTGTGTACATTATCTAAAGTGTTCATAGAATAGAGGCAAATTTAGTTTTCAATTGGGCAACACAAAAGTAATATTATATAAAATTATATTTTATGTAATATTAGATAATGACATATTCTGTTATTTCTTAAAACTTTATTATGAGGTTCACTACTTTGCAAATGAACATTTCATTCATTTCCCCTGAGTAAGGGGGAGGGAAATGGTGAAGGTATACTCAACTTATGCAATATCAAAATAACCGTGATCATGGTAAGAAAATGAAAACAGAAGGCCAATTGCCATTTACAAAACATATTATAAGATAAAATTGGATTGCTACAGTAAGCTAGTGGGTCCCATTCATAAGGCCAAGTCAAACAAGGTGAGGACATATCTTGGAGGGAACACATGAGTAAAAGAGAGGTCTTGAGGGCTGGATTGAAACAAGAATATTTATTCTTAAGGAAATGATATTGTATCAATTTTTGGGACATTTTGCCATTGGCAATAATTAAAAAGTCTTCAAAATGTGTGACATAATGTTACACAATGCAAGAGTTCCTTTATTTTACAAGGCATACTAGTGACATTATTCCTTTATAATAGCAATTTTCATGAGGGTAAAGCTATGTGATTGCCATAACATGAGGCAGGTAGCAGAGTGTGTCTCCTTTGAGATGTTCATACTGAAATGAAACAGGCTAAACACAGGCAGATAAAGAATAGACAGGTGATATGGTTTGGATCTGTGACCCCACCCAAATCTCATGTCAAATTGTAATCATAAATGTTGGAGGTGGGGCCTAATGGAAGGTAACAATCATGTTGGTGGATCCTTCATGAATGACTTAGCACCATCCCTTTGGTGCTGTTATCGTGATGGTGAGTAAGTTCTCACAAGATCTGGTCATTAAACAGTGTGGCGATTCCTCAAGGATCTAGAACTAGAAATACCACTTGACCCAGCCATCCCATTACTGGGTATATACCCAAAGGATTATAAATCATGCTGTTATAAAGACACATGTACACGTATGTTTATTGCAGCACTATTCACAATAGCAAAGACTAGGAATCAACCCAGATGTCCATCAGTGACAGACTGGATTAAGAAAATGTGGCACATATACACCATGGAATACTATGCAGCCATAAAAAGGATGAGATCATGTCCTTTGTAGGGACATAGATGAAGCTGGAAACCGTCATTCTGAGCAAACTATCGCAAGGACAGAAAACCAAACACTGCATGTTTTCACTCATAGATGGGAATTGAACAATAAGAATACTTGGACACAGGGTGGGGAACGTCACACACTGGGGCCTGTCGTGGGGTGGGGGAATGGGGGAGGGATAGCATTAGGAGAAATACCTAAATGACGAGTTAATGGGTGCAGCAAACCAACATGGGACATGTATACATATGTAACAAAACTGCACGTTGTGCACATGTACCCTAGAACTTAAAGTATAATAGAAAAAAAGAAAAAGAAAAAAAAATCTGGTGGTTTGAAAGTGTGTAGCACCTCCCCCTTCTCTCTTTTCCTCCTGCCTGGGCCATATGAAAATGCCTGTTCCAGCTTTGCCTTTTGCCATGAGTAAAAGCTCCCTGAGGGCTCTCCAGCCATGCTTCCTGTATAGCCAGTGGGACTGTGAGCCAATTAAACCTTTTTGTTGTTTTTGTTAATAAATCACCCAGTCTCAGATATTTCTTTATAGCAATATGAGAACAGACTAAAGGAGAGTTGGAGAAGCCCAAATGGAAAGAAAAGCTATCAGCTGGAGCTGATAGCAAATTTAAATAAGCATGAGTGTAAGAAACTGAGGCTAAGAGGCAATCTAGGGTCAGGTGAAGGAGGGAGCCAGGTGAGGAAAATTGTATACATACCTATTTGTCTCAGCTGAAGTTGGAGCACCAGGGTGGTGCAATCTCAGTTGAAAGCCCTCAGAGAACCTTCTTAGTGGGGTGGTTATTACCAGTTTGAATAAAGTTGAGTCTACTTTTACAATTTTTAGAAACCTCAACTTGTGACAAATAGACAACTTTTTCATATAGTGTTCCTCCCAGGTTAGCTTTTGCACAGATTTCTTTGGTATTCCATCTGTATATTTTAGCTTAGTTTTCTAATTTATGAATTTGTATCTGCCTTACTTTTATCTCAATGTTCTTTTCTAATATGTCAACTTGGCATCAACATGGGGTATTTCTATAAGTTCTTGTCATTATTTTCCAATACTTGAAAGTTTAGCCTCTTTAGCACTTCTCACCAGAGTTCTTCTAGTTGACCTCTAATCTGTTCCAACAAGTAGGAATTAAAATCTACTAAATTGTGGAAAAATGTAAAATCTCCATAATATAAAATGCCTTTGTTAAGTGATAGGCTAGACATAAACACAGAGTATTTATAACTTGAGTTTTAATTCTATTTCATTCAATAGTAATTTTCTGTCTCTCTCTCTCTCTTTTTTTTAATGGAGTCTCACTCTGTATCTTACCAAGGCTGGAGTGCAGTGGAACGATCTCGGCTCACTGCAACTTCTACCTCCCAGGTTCAAGCAATTCTTCTGCCTCAGCCTCCTGAGTAGCTGGGATTACAGGTGCCCACCACCATGCCCGGCTAATTTTTGTATTTTTAGTAGAGACAGGGTTTCACCGTGTTGGCCAGGCTGGCATTTTCTTCAAAAGACTTAAGCCCAGTTGAAAAACACGATCAAGCTTTGCACATACTAATTATTCAAAGGTTTGAATTTGGAAGTAGCTAATTCATAACCTTCTAAATCTGAAGAGCTCTAAGATTGTGAAGTGGTTGCAAGGAAGAGTTAAAATTTGGTGAAACTTTCTATTTTTCTTTTTTTTAACCTCATTTCTCTCTGACTTTCAAAAGATGAAGATTGTTCAAGTGGAATAAATGAATGACAAATAGCTAAAGATGTTCAGAAATTACCCACACCTACACTTGGTATAAATTAAACTATAATAGTCTCAAATCTCCTATTTTGTTTTTAATAATGTGGATGTGTGTGTATATGCTTTGGTGACAGTTTTAATGGGAGGGAACATTTGGTCTTTCTGTTCTGATGCTTATTGGATTTTCAGGAAAGCATAGACTAAACTGAAGACAAATAGCCTCGGAAGATGGAAACTCAATCCTATGTCTTCCATAGAAAATAGAATTAAATTGTCATCCACCCTAATAAAACAATACTTTTGAAATTTTGAGGGTCCGTGAGGATGATAGTACTAACACTCATGTTTACCTCTGTCTTTTGTTGCTTTTTCCTACAATGACTCTGAAGGTTGCCCATACTTTCAAGTTAATCCCTTCATCAGGTGCTTGTAATTTATCCATAAAACCTAGGCATATATTCATGAAACAATCAGATAGTAGCAAAAAAACAAACAAACAAACAAAAAAACCGAGG